GGGGCGCAGGTTGCTCCCCTGTTCCCGTGGCAGGCTCCTCCCAAGCGGGCAGAAATCTCACTGGTTGAGTCCGTTCCTGGCCTGCCGCTCTCCAGGGGGGTCGGACCAAGCCTCCCATCATCCCCTGCCCCGCACGGTGCGGATGAGGGGTGGGGGGAGCTGTAGTCCAGCCCATAAATGAGGTCCTTCCGTAACTGGGAGGGTAAGGAATCACCAGTTGAACTTCTGCCTGCCAGCCAGGAAAAGACGGCCGTTCCTCCCCTCAGCTGGACTCTACACCCGTTAGACTTCTTTCCCCCCAACACAGGCGAACATCGTGCCTCCCTCCCTTTAACCTCCACAACAGCCCTGCAAGGTAGGCCCGGCCCAGCCCGACCCCAGCCGCCCCTTGTGAGCTTCCTACCCCGCCAGGATTTGAACCGGGGCCCCTTCCTGGCCTCCCTTCGGCTGGAGCGCGCGGACAAGAATTCAGATCCTCGTCTCTATTATTATGCTTAAGTCATTTTTTCCTCTTTTATTTTTTAAGTATGTATAAATTAGCGGGGATTTGGCCCTCGGTGCCAGGCGTTAAGCTTCATCCAGCCGGCTATTGCAAAAACAGCCCAACGTCCTTTGCCTGGCCTCCTCTCGTCTCGTGTCAGGAAGGCAGGAACGAGAAAAGGGGAAATTATGGATCTAAATTTTAAAGGGTTAAAAACTTTTTAAAAAGTGCTTTTCCTGGTGCAGCTTGTCTCGTGCTGAAGGGCGTCCGAAATTCTCATCACCCGCTTTCTGGAACGGACTCCTCTGGCTGTTTTAAATCAGTCGATCAGTGCCAAGGGGTCAGGCACGCGACCGGTCTGTTTCCCACCGATTTGGCAAACCCGCTCGGAGAGGCCTGGGCCAGAACCTTTGTGCCCGTGCGCCCCTGTCTCCCCCCGGGGCCTGAATTCGAGGTTTGGGAAAGCGGCCAGGGGCCCCGCTTCTCACCTGTCTCTCCCCGCAGGAACCCTGACCCCTTTTGGGGGGCCTTCACCCTGGACGACGAGGACGACGAGGACGATGACGATCTGGATTTCCGGGAAGACCCCTTCTTCCCCGACGGCTTCAGCTTCGGCTTTACCTTCGAGCCGGGCGGCGTTCACTTCCACGACCGGTTCCACTTCGAGGAGCTCTTCCGTGATTTTAACAGCCTCTTCAGCGACGTAGGGGCCCGGAGTCTGCCTTCCCCATCTTTCGGTGGGTGCGCTTTCGCACGGACCCTCGCCGAATTGGGGGCCTGCGGGGACAGTCCGGCTTGGATCAGACGGAGTTGCATGGGCTTCAGACGTTCGTCGGAAGAAATGGATCTCATCCAGGAGGATCCAAAACCTAAATCCTTTGGGCTTTCCAAGATTATAGATCAAGGGAGGGGAAAAAAGTTTGTTTTGACTTAATTTCTTGTCACTTCTCCCTCTCCTCCATTTCCCCCCAATAATAATAAATTATAAATATAAATTATTATTATTATTATTTCTTCCTCCTCCTCCATCACTAACATCATCATCATCATCATCATCATTGTCATCATCTCTTTGTCCTCTTCCTCTTCATAATCAAACCCACAATTACTTTTTTCAACCTTCCTCATTCTCTTCATTTTTCCCCCTCGCTTGCTCTGCTGTCACCCAAACAGCCCGTTTTTCCTCTTTTATCCTCCCCACAGCCCTGCGAGGTGGGGTTGCTGCTGGTCACGCAGCAGAGGGCAGCGTTGGGGGTTTTTTTCCCCCCTTCGTTTCGCAGGGGGGAGGTTGAGGTTATGATTGTGGTTAATTTTTTTGCAAATAATTTTTTGCATTGGCCTCCTCGCCTCGTTTCTTGCTCACGCAGGGCAGAAAAGCAGGGCTGGGTGGCAACGCTTAAAAACTTCCCTGGAACCCGTGCCCCGTAAAACACCCTCCCCATTTTTTGCAGATTCCACCCCCCACACTTTCCCCCCCCCTAAACTGGCTCTTGAATCTTAAATGCCAATTTCCTTTTTGCAGAATTCCCGCGCTTGGAAACGCCCTCGCCGCCAGCCGACCGCCCTCTTGAGAAGGGACAGACTCTGCGGGACTCGATGCTGAAACACCCAGACAGCCATCGCCGTGGAGCAGAAGAGGGCCCTCCGATTTCAGAGAGGAGGCCCTGGCCCCCTTTCCGGGGGGTGCGTGGTACTGACTTTGTTGGGGGAGGGAGAAACATGCTCCAATAGCCCCCACTGACGCCCATTGCAGTGACCGATGTGTCGGACGTTGCTTGGCCTTTGCCAACCTCACTGGACCCATTATACAGAAGGGAGGAAGAAGACTGAGGTGACACCATTGCCTTTCCAGCATGCTGGCTGGGGAATTCTGGGAGTTGAATCCCCTTTTCAAGTTGCCGAGGTGGACAAACACTGCTGTCAGGTTTTCTGAGTGCCCTGACTGTCTCGTGTGCTCTTTTCTTCTCCAGTTTCAAGAGACCCAGCCGGACGCCGCTGATTCTGCCAAAGAGGATGGAGGTCAGAAGCTGAATCGGGGGGAATTGCAGGAGTCGGATGGGGACTTTGTTCAGAAAAACGGGGGGCTGGGGGGGCATCTTTTTTTTTTTTTCCTTTAAAGATCTCAGCAGAACATTCGCTGGGCCCACCAAGCCAGATCTTGTCTGGCCAGACTCTGTCCCAGAACGGCCGTTCGACTCCAGAATTTCCTGCCTCAAGATGTGGCGATGGCCGCTAAGTGAGACAGGGCTGAGAGAAATGCCTAAGAAAGGACGAAAGCCATCAGTGGCAGGGCCCAGGCCTAATTCCTGCAGGCTAACCCTTCCAATAGCCCCCTTTATGCCTCCCGATCAATTATTAACCGCCTCTGTCACCAGTCTGGCTCCTAAAAGACTCTGGGTGATGGATAACGTGTTAAAACTCAATGACAAACTCAAAGTAGAACCACTTCCAACCAAAACACCCTATTTATGCCCTTCGAAGGCCGCTGTAAGGAGCGCACGGCCATTGGCCCAGGCTTCTCGGGCGGTTCCCTTCCAGCATGCAAGTTGCTAGTCCTCATTGTTGTAGCGTAAACGTAGAAGCTGTTTTCCGTCCCCTGGCCAAAGTACATTTTAACTTCAAGCCTCCGAGCGTGAGTTCGTAACGAAGAGGCACCAGTTTGATCTGCGGTCTTTGGGACGCAGAAACCTGGATGCTGGTGGGACCCAGGGCGCACAGTGCTCGGACTCCGAAACCCATAGCGTCCCCTGGGCTTCTTCCTCGCCCAGAGACACAACTTGTGTTCGATCTCGTCCTTCTTGCAGATCTCGATTCTCAGGTTACTTCCAAAGGCTTGCAAGTCATCCTCCCCCCAGCCCAACCCCGGTCCTATTTCCAAAGCGTCTCGGTCACAAAAGTGGTGGCGCCGGATGGGGTGAGTGCCAAGGGTCCCGGCCCAGAGAGGGGCTTGCAGGGGTCACGGAGGCCAAACATATGGCTTGTTCTAAACAGCCAAGCTTCTGGTCCTCGTGGTTTGCTTCCCGCTCTTCTGCGTTTCCCCCTACGAGCAAGGTGCGATTCATCTGAATTTCCGCAAGCTTTAAAGAACCAAGCTTCTGGTCCTCATGATTTGCTTGCTGCTGTTCCGCATTTCCCCCCCACAAGCAAGGTGCCGTTCATCTGGATTTCCAGCAATTTTGCCTTGTTGTTCTAGACCATTGAGGAACGCCGGACTGTGCGGGACAGCCAGGGCCACGAGGAGACGGTTGTCACTCGGAGCAGGGGGGAGTCAACTCTGGGGCTTGACGACGGCCAGCAGAGAGGCCCGAGTAAGTAAGAAAGAGGAGAACCCTGTTCTGAACTACCACAGAGGGGCACCGTTTTCAGAAAGGCCCCACTCTTTACTGAAAACATGTTTCTAGTCCTCATGGCTGCAAAGCTCAACCAGTGAATTAAGTTTCTAGCCCTCACAGTTGCAAAGCTCAACCGGTAAATTAAGTTTCAAGTCCTCACAGCTGCAAAGCTCAACCGGTAAATTGAGTTTCTAGTCCTCACAGCTGCAAAGCTCGACCGGTAAATTAAGTTTCTAGTCCTCAAGGCTGCAAAGCTCAAATGGTAAATTAAGTTTCTAGTCCTCACAGCTGCAAAGCTCAACCGGTAAATTAAGTTTTTAGTCCTCGCAGCTGCAAAGCTCAAATTGTAAATTAAGTTTCAAGTCCTCACAGCTGCAAAGCTCAACCAGTAAATTGAGTTTCTAGTCCTCGCAGCTGCAAAGCTCAAACGGTAAATTAAGTTTTTAGTCCTCATGGCTGCAAACCTCAACCGGTAAATTAAGTTTCTAGTCCTCGCAGCTGCAAAGCTCAAACGGTAAATTGAGTTTCTAGTCCTCAAGGCTGCAAAGCTCAACCGGTAAATTGAGTTTCTAGTCCTCGCAGCTGCAAAGCTCAAACGGTAAATTGAGTTTCTAGTCCTCATGGCTGCAAACCTCAACTGGTAAATTAAGTTTCTAGTCCTCAAGGCTGCAAACCTCAACCGGTAAATTGAGTTTCTAGTCTTCACGGCTGCAAAGCTCAAATGGTAAATTAAGTTTCTAGTCCTCGCAGCTGCAAAGCTCAACCAGTAAATTGAGTTTCTAGTCCTCGCAGCTGCAAAGCTCAAATGGTAAATTAAGTTTTTAGTCCTCATGGCTGCAAACCTCAACTGGTAAATTAAGTTTCTAGTCCTCAAGGCTGCAAACCTCAACAGGTAAATTGAGTTTCTAGTCTTCACGGCTGCAAAGCTCAACCGGTAAATTGAGTTTCTAGTCTTCACGGCTGCAAAGCTCAACCAGTAAATTGAGTTTCTAGTCCTCATGGCTGCAAAGCTCGACCAGGAAATTAAGTTTCTAGTCCTCATGGCTGCAAAGCTCGACCAGGAAATTGAGTTTCTAGTTCTCATGGCTGCAAACCTCAACCAGTAAATTAAGTTTCGTGAACCACCCTTGGATGCCGAGGACCGGGAACATCAAGCCCTTTAGGGAAAGGGGAAAAGCCGCTGGAGACCCCCTGAGAGGTGGCCAAACAGCCCGCTAAGAATTCTTTCTGGCGTTTTGGTTTTGCAGGGGATCCAGACCCCTTCAGCTCCCGGCAGGACGGGGACATGAGTGACACGGCTTCCATCCTGGGCACCTTCTTCCGCCGCTGGTTCCCCAACCAATAATTCTGCTGGCGGGGAAATCAGGTAGGGCAAAGGGTCACCACCCAGCTGGCATTTTATCCATGTTCTGTTTTAAGCCATGCTTAAGAAATTTGGCCCGTTCCAGAAATGGGTGGTTGGGAAGGAACTGGGGGGTGCCGTCGCCTCTCTTAACTCGGCAGAACCGTTTTGCCCAAGCGTCGGGTTAAGAGGAGTGGCTCGGGTCTGGACAATCCAGGGCTGGCCTTGCCAACCTCGCAGGGGTGTTGTTGCCGGGGAGAAATTGGAGGAGCTTTGCGCTCCGAGCAGAGGGGGGAAGGACCCCCCAACCGAGAATCAGACGGTTCAGAATTGAATCAACTGTGTTTCTCTTTTTGCTGTTTTTCACCAGGTTTGTCTCTGCCTCATCCCTTCGCAGACCCCTTACTGCTCCGTCTTCTAAGAAGGCTTCGTAGCCCCGAAAGAGAACCAATAAAAATCTCTATTTATGCTTTTGAGGTTGGCTGCGTGCTATTTTTCCCTTGCAACAAATGGCCAAGCCAGAATCTAAGAAACAGCCCTGCTGCACCAGCCTCCCTGTCCCCAAGTGCAGGAATATGGGGGTAGAGTGCTCCTGAACCTGGAGGTTCTCGAGTCCTAATGAATTGCTGTTGCTTTCGGATCAGTGGCACGTTCGAAGAAATCTCTCAGAGGGTGGGTATACTCTGGGGGGGATCAGAGTGTGCAGAAAGAACCCAATTTTGGGAGGTTCAGCAGGAAAGGCGGTATCTATCATGTTTTTTCAAGCGAGAAATCTTTGACCCGCCAATTTCAGTAGGATCCAAGCTTTCTAAAAGCCTTTCTAATGCAGGAAGCTGGAGATGGAGAGAGACATTTCTCCACTCTTTCAATCTCTAACTTTCATTTTTATACAATATTATACTATTAAGAACTTCAGCCCCTGGACATTAACTCCTATTCTATAAATCTTTCTCCCAATTAGCTCCTGGACGTTTGGGGCACCTTTGCTAAAAAAAAAATTAAAAAACACCCATTTTTCCTAGGTTGAAACCGAGTTTTTTTTTCCCGAATAATTTTATTCAGTGTTCAGATAAGGAGCGACTTCCGACTTTTCTCACAACAGTGTCAATTGACACGAAACTCTTACGCTAAGTTCACAACACGGCTTTCATTTTTTCTCTTCTCCAGTATTATTTCTAATCATCCAATCCGTACCTCCACGTTCATTTTTTTTTTCTGTTTCACGCAAAGAGTCCAAAAGAAACTCAGTTTCGTATTGCGGGGGGAAACTAAACCCACCCGGGTTTCCTTTCTTGACTGAAGCGCAGCCATTTTTCCCCCACCCTCGACGGTGGGGCTGGAGCCGTCCCCATCATCCACAGCCCAACCGGGCTGGGCTGTCCTTTCCGTGTCCGTTCTGTACGCAGGAGAGCCCCGTGTGTACCCAACAGACGTTCCCCGATTTGTACCCATTCCGACACCCCAAAGGACACCCTTGGCGTGCTCCGCACAAGGGCCCATCTGGAGGCGGGCAAGGCCAGGAGCGAAGTGCCAGGGTGGCCCACGCATGTGGTGGATGCCCACCAGCCTGGCAAAGCTTCCCTTCTCGTAAAGGGGGTGCAAAACTCGGGGAGCCTCCGCACGTGGGCAGCCCACGCTTTCCCCCCAAGACCAGAGATCCAGATGCAACCAGGGGAAGGGTCCGACCTCTCCTTAGCCCGGCTGACCCGTTGGGCCGTGACGTTCCTTTCTTTCCTCTCTGGCCCTGCGCCCTTTGCCCTTACGTAACTCAGCCGAGCAATTAATCAGCTCAGAATAATTAGCTATTATCATCGCGGGCCAAGGAGGCTGGTGCAGGCGTATAAATGGAAGCTGTTCTCCAGCGGTGCACTCCGTCGCTGGACCCGCTCCGAGCAGATCCAGCCATGACTTATTCTCGCTTATTGGCCAGGGTGCAAGCCAGCTGTCAGCTGCGCAGTGACCTCCTACGGCAATGCCTCGCGGAGTTCCTGGGCGTCTTTATTTTAATTGTGAGTTTCCAAAAAAGGGGCGGTTGCGCCTTTCGGGGCAAAGGTGGGCGGCTTTTAAGCTCGGGGGACTTTCTGAACGAAACCCGCTTTACCAGACTGGCAACTTCCCCAGTGCTGGAGATTGACCCTGTAAGCAAAGGCAGAGTTTTCTGCTATGGTTCTCCCACTAAGTGTCAGGATTCTAGTCCTCATGGTCCTGAGTGACTGGCTGGGGGTGCAGGTTGAGAATAACACACAGGCTGTCTAAATCCTGAATTTTTCTAGATCTGAACGGGTTTCCCTGAAAGATCTGCACATTCTCTCCCCCAACAAATTTCCTATCGTTGGAGCACCGTGCCAAGCCCCAAGGTCCTTTGAACTAAACTTAAAACATTGATTAAGCTACTTTGCAATTTGCTATTCCTGCTTAATTGGCCCTTGCTGTGTTGACTTTAGTTGGACCCCCTTTAGACAAAGCAAACTGCGTTCTCCCTCTTCTGAAGGACCTCAAATTTCTATCTTTTTTTTTTTTAATCCAAGTTTACTTCTTGGAGAAAGCATTTCTCACCCTTGGCCCCTTTAAGCTGGAGGGACTCCAACTCCCAGAATTCCCCAGCCAGCAATTCTGG